GTCAGGCGCTTCGCCGAGGGCACTCACACATACATAACGCTACCCACACACGCCCGCAAGGGGTGCGCCAAGGGAGGTGGGGACTGTATTAAGTTCCTTTCTTTTCTCTAAAATAATTTTAGGGGATGGTTTTACTTCGATTTTTTCCAAGGGTCCTCGACCGAGCGTCTGTTGAATGCGTTCGATTTGAGAATTCTTTTCATAAATCTATTCGCATGTTACAATGTCGGAGTGCGATTTTCACTGTAGCATATAAGACATAATAAAAACTCTATGAACTATGATATAATAAAATAAAAACTCTTTAAGAAATATAGTCTTTTCATAATACATCAGATCATGAATGTTTCAATTAATCTACCTATTAAGAATTCTTAATTTGAATATTTCTACTCTTAGAATATCTGTAGAATGTTCTATTTTTAAATACAAACTAAAGAGTTTTAACGTAACTTCGATGTTTATCAAGTGTATTTGAACCATAATTTTCCCTTCCAATCTTTCGCTGAAATATTTTTAATCAAAGTTTTTACCTGCGTCCGACTGAACCCGTCAATCTTAAACTGTAGATTAAAAACATCCACACTTTTTTAGCATTCGAAGGATCAAGATTCAAAAAAGAAATTATATACATAGTTTTGACGAAGGTCGACATATGCTATATTCTACCTGAGATAATCTTTGTTAGATATGGGAATCTTTTAAGAGGCGTGGAGAAATAAATGCGGGGTTTAATTATTAATCACGGAATCACAAAGAGGAAATTAACCTTTAGAAAAATATATGCGCAGAAACATAAAGACTGCTGTTTCTTCTTGGATAAGTAGATTTGAGAGTTTTGTGTCTTGTAATCTGAAATTATTGTTTCGCCACGAAAGAAAGCTCTATCAGCTCAACCAACTTAGTCACTTCTAAAGCGCTTTTATACATCTTCTTCCCAATCGTTTACCCTGAATTATTATTGAATATAGCGATAGGCCCTACATCCTTGCCAAAAAATATCAAGGCTTTTACCTCAATTGTAAATTGTATGTATGCGACCGGGTTTGTTGTTGCAGCCTCGTTTCAAGTATGTTATTATATAGGTTTTATGGGTCTTGACTAATTCATTCCTCACAATATACTTCATAATTTCCATAAATATAGTATCATGTTTGTTGTACATCGACAAAGAAAACTTTACGAATTTTAAAAGCTGGCTTCAAACCCACGACTTCAGTATTAAAAATCACTCGCTTTTCCACTAACTCTAACAACTGCTCTTATTATTGCTGTGCTGCTGTATTTTTTTGCTACATACATTACACAGTACCTACTTAAGACTTTTCTAGTTTTCTTAAAAATAAATTGTGCTCAATTAAGAAGTCTTGTTACCTCCTAGATAGCGATAAGATCGTTCAGTTCGTAATTAGTTAGGACGTCGGTATCTCCAAAGTTTTATCGAAGGGCTTAAAACAATGCAGTTTAATTACACCCTTAGTACAATGTATTTAAGAGCGTATATTCTCTGCCTCAGTTGGCAGGTGGTCCAAAATTTGCTGAGTCAGCGCAGTGGCACCGGTAGTTTGTGGTAGCGCATTCGAATCCCCGCCCGATCACGATTTACATGTCACTCGCGCCGCTTGATATCAGATTGGGTGCTACTCAATCTAGCCAATTCTATGAAAATAGGATTATTATGCAGATTTATTCATCGATACAACGGCGATTATAAATCGTTGATCGGCTTTGGTTCGATTCAATAAACAGCTTAATTTTAGCTAAAATATATATCTAAAAAATATTTTGTTTATGTGATCAGCGGTACAGCACGCAGCGTGATTCAAGTACATATGATTCAATTTTCTTGACCGGAGTTATTAAAAAGCAAGCATTATATCGTCAAGAGTCAAATTTGGTACCTCCGGGTTGTACATCATATGTACCTAATCCGACATGATTCAGTGCTTCTGAAAATTATTCGCTATCTGGGAATTGCAAGAGGAAAAATATTGTCTGTACGAGATTTTACTGAGGACGTTAAATATTATATGTAAATCAATGGTCATATTACAGGTATTTATTTGACCTTTAACCTATATACATAATAGTAAGTAACTAGAGCACCTAAAACTTGATTGTCTAAGATTTCTGTATCTGTTATTATTGATAATTTGGCTTTAAAAAGCGATCAGCATCCTGTGCCTGTCACATGATGCCGGATAGTTTACTGCCAGTTTTTCTCCGTTCTACGCCCACGATTCAAAAGTGAAACGTAAATTTAGAATCATATATTTTCCGCATAAACGTTAACAAGCGAAAAGTCCTAACAAGCGACTACTTGTCTTGGCATAAATGCCTTGATAAGCAGAAAGAAAGTATTTTTATTCTACATAATATTGTCATTAATTGGAACGAAAACTTTTAGACGGTAAGAAATAAAGAGTTAGTAATGTTATTGTTTTTTTTTGTGCGTTGTTGTCAGCCATTACAGTAATTAGTAATTACTATAAGTTTATAGATGCTAAACTATAACATGATTCTACGCGGTGGGAAAAGTAGACATTGGTCCTTTAGTAGAAGTCTTTAGGACTTCTGTGCATCGAACCACTATAGCCAACTTCCCGGCAACTACACGCATGAAATAATATACTATAATACTTAACCGAATACTTCCGTTTTTAGGACGAGACATGGCAATTGAATCAACGAGCACAAGCAATTGGTAACAAAAGGGGTAAATATTGGTATAATTTTTAGTTAATTTACTTACCCTAAATAGATTTGAATGCGACTGAATCTGTTTTTCTGTACATTTTCAAAGATATACTTACTCCAGTGGCACAGCGCCCCGAAGTACTTGTTATTCGAGCACTTGAAGATCGCGTATGTTCTTCATTGCGTCTTTCCAGCTATATGTGGGCCATCCGACGGCAAAGAATATGAGCAGTATTTCTAAAGAAATGCCGAATATTTAATTATTTAACCTTATTAGGTTGTGCCAGACACTATCTGTCATATTTGTGTTGAACATACATACAGACGTTTGGTTTTTTAAAATCTATTTCTAGGTATAAAAAACAGAATAAAGATTACTATTGCATATATATTTCTCAAAGCTTTCAATATACAGTTAATGAACTGTAATTGAGATATGAATATAATTCAATACTGCTGCGTCCGCACTTTATTCAATTTGCTTAACATCACTTTCTTTTTGAAAGTCATGCTATAAAATATTAGTCTTCATTCATTTGACGTCTCAATGTAAGTAAATTTGAGATGGAGTTGAAATTTGATATAGACTAGCACGTAATTGAAATAAGATTTGTTGATCAAACATAATTATGTAAAGATTGTATTTGATGAACTTTTTAAGACATCATTAACTACTTAATACAAAACGCCATAACTTAGTTTTAAATTTTTTGTATCGATATCTTACGAAATTACCCAAATAAAATCACAGAATGTTATTCTTAGATCTCGTAATTCCCAAAAATCAAGCCAAAAGCGAATGCATTTTTTGTTTTGTTTTATTGAATAAGTAAGCAAGTAATAGCTTTATATATACCTAGTACATTTGACGGGAATGGAACACAAGCCCAGTAATACTGCATTGAACTTTAATTAAATACAAATCAGTATATTGTTACAACCACAAACAAAAAAAAATACCTCAGGATACATAATCTCTAAAACCACTGACTAATTAAAGTGCATAAATCAGACTAAACATCAATCTACTATGTTTATACAATGTTCATTAATGAGTGTTTAATAAAACATCTGTAATCCGTATCTTTCATCGGGTGCTAATCACGAAAACTCGACATCTGCCCAGTAGCTCGTGCCCATGTGCACCGTCATTGGACAGTCATTATCAGAGGTCAACGGCCCCTTGATTACCTTTGAGCACGCCCTGACGTTCATCATTAGCCTAGGTTATGTTTGTAAACATAAGTAAATAGGTCAGATTTTTCGCCAAGATCTATTTGATCGTTAATCACAATTTTGTATTTACAAATAACTGTACTTTTTTTTAAATATCTGATACTCGATGTCACTTCTTTGCGTCATTGAATGTCAAATGAAAAATTACAGTTTCCAATTTGACACTTGACATTCGATCTACGAGAAATAATTATCGCCAACACGTCATATTTTTATCATTGCTTTTATAAAGTACCAAAAATTGGGGGAGAAAACACTTCAAGTTTATTCGAAAGGAAACACGTTATCATCAAAGTGCTAGTCTTAGTCGGTCCGAATTGTGTTTTTAGTCCTTTATAGTTCCTATGTTTTTGTAAGTGCCTGTATACATTGTACAGTTTAGGCAATAAGTCAGTACCTACCCGTAAACTCGACACTGGTAAAATTCTACCAAATGATCTGATGTCATAGCTGCTACCATAGAATATAACATTGTCTTTTGTGTTTATCACTTATATGGCAAATAATTTAATTTAATGGACATTTTTTTAAAAAAAATATAAAAATAATTAAATAAAAAAATCTAACAAAAAAAATCAATAAAAAAAATTAAAAAAAAAAAATTTTTGGCACATTTTGAACGTAAATCCTGAACATTTCGAATTTGCACCTCTGCTTTATCACCAAACCCCAAAATCATCCATCTACCTTAAAGGATTGCTTGCGGTCCTCGGCTTCTTCATTACAATTCTCTTGATTCATAGGTACCACGTAGCGCCATTTAGTAACCCTGAGAGGGTTTCGGAAGTTCTATCTAAATTACCCAATAAGATATTTCCTTATATTATTACCTTTAACAAACCCAAAAAAAAAAAATTATTTCATTAGAAAAAAATATTACCCCCCATGTAGTGCTAGGATGTAGTTTCGATATCAAAGTGAGAAAGAAAAACTTTTCCACACAACAATATATATATCCACTCCATAATTTATTTAAATATTTTACCCCCAGAAAAATCCTAAAAAAGAAAAAAGGAAAGGGGGAAAAAAAATATTTTTTTTTCCCCTTTGCGTGGTACCCATTCTAGCTAACCTGACGACTGTAGTTCCAGACTCTCCCAAATCTGGCTCACCAGGTAAGATGTTATTTTGGAGCCCCCTCCACCTGTAAACCTCAAATCTATGAGCATATCCTTGTAGACTGCAGATGAGATATAATTTGAACCCCCCCTTGTGGGGTTTAGTTTGGGCATGTATTGTTTTATGTTATGGCTCATTTTGGTTGCACACATCTGCTCGTCTATGGAAAGCCTTTGGTCTAAGGGAACCTTTCCAAACTGGCAGTTGAGCATTTCCTCAAGAGGTCTTATTTTGAATAGCCTGTCATAGTCTGGATGATCTTTGGGTAAGCATAGCGTATTGTCGGCAAAATGGAGAGTGGATCTTATTTTTCAATTTAAGGCATCATTTTTTATGTGATCAACAATTATACCCAGTAAGCCCTGGTGTTTGGAAATTTTATGACTGGGGGGGTGTAAATCAGAATGCCTAGGAATTTATTTAGGATATTTTCATTTATAATTTCAGGATTGATATTGTTGGGCCGGTCTTACAATTTGCTTTTTTAGATAAATAAAATAAAAAAAAAATCAGGCGTGTTACAAGACATCAATCCTTCCTTATCTGATTTCTCCCCAAAAAAAGGCGTCTTGGGGAGGAGAAGGGTGTTTTTTTTCCCAAAACCGGGGGTCTTTGAAAGGGGTATTTGTGATCTACTCTGGGGTACTGCTTCTCCGGCTTCCAAAATAGGAGGGTCTGGCATATTTTGATGTTGTCAATTAGAGAAGGAGGATCAGCATCCACTTCATCACTATTTTCAAGGCCCCGAAGAACATTGAGTGTTTGATAATAGTGACCTTCATCCTCTACTTGGAGTCGAGCCGTCTAACATCTTCTGAATCTTCAAGAGTTTTAAATACTTTGTAATTTCGCTTTCTAGTAATCGCGGCATGCTGAAAAGCAAAATAAAAACCCTTCACCAAACATGCATTTATTTAGCACAATCGATTGTAGTTTTCCTACAACATACCAGATTTCGCGAATTCGATAGCATCAAGTAATTTTCAATTTTTACAACATGAACATTAATTGAAGATATAATCTAAAAATAAAATATATACTTACATTATATTTATCAAAGTCCGAACACAGCTTCAAAACTTAGTTTGGCCACTAGAAAAGTTTTTTCAAAGTGACATTTCTTTATTTTTAATGCAAAAAATATTGAAGTGCCAACATTAAAAAATAAAAATTCGTTCAGAAATAAGAACAGTTTAAAATAAAGATAATTTTATTATAGAGCTGTATTTATATTTTAACTAATTAAAATAAATAAATTATTTATTGTATATGCCTGGTTATATTAACAGTTAACATCGGTTTATTAAGATATAAGTGAAATTATATTTTCGTTGTAAAATACATAAAATTTAATCACTGTAACGCGATAAAAGTTATTCATAAACAAATTAAACTGAAAAAAGTTATATAAAATATGTAATTATGTCCATTGTAGCTCTCTTGACCTACAGAGCACAATTCTGATAAGTTTTAACAGATTTAAAAAAATAATTTTAATGTTTATTATAATAAACTTCTTTTTAAATATGTTCTATAACTCGTTTTAATATCTTTAACGTCAATAAATTTAAAATAGCAATTTGCAAACAAATTGTATTTATATTCAATCTCAAATGTATTTTATCTACTTTACTTGTTATTTTCAATCTTATAAATTTATCGACAGTTCATAAATCAACGAAGACTGAGTCTCGCCATTGCTTAGAATATATTGAAGCAGCTTGGGGCCTCACGATTTCAGAACCTTTGTTTAGTCTGCGAAAATTTATAATCGTTAACCTACTTTGCCAGTATTATATTATATTGATTATAGTTCAACCTAGACATAATCATAATACAAGACATCTAAATAATTATTATAATACCGGGAAGTCTTTTTAAATCCCTCAAATACAATAAAGATATGAAGACAAATATATAATTTCTTTATTTGGCACAGCTTTTTTTTAAGTTGTTATTCTTTTGTTTCACGATGTATGCCTTTACCGTAGGAGTAAGCATTCATTACGGACATACAAAGAAAAATCCAGCCGTGATTCGAACCCATGAACTCAAGGTTGAGGGTTGCACTTAAGCCAAGACTCAACGCTCAACACACATACATCTAATACAGTGTGAACACTAAAGAAAATGCTTATACGAGTACGTACTATAGTAATCGCATTCTATTAATAAGTCTAACATCAGTTAATTCAGAGCTGAGTACCGCTCGCTTTGATCTCCGTTACAATCGCCTATAATTGATGATTGCACTCCCATACATGGCGAAACCAATCGAGACCGTGTTTGTATGTTTGTAACCTTCGAGTTATATCAAACCATTAGGTAGCTTACCTACATTAGACGAAGCATTTGCCCATTTCAAAGTAACAATTGGATAAGTAAAATAACAAAAGAAAATTACAGGCAGTGATATCTAGTCTAGTATATAGTGTTGACTTTCTTTTTTTTTTTTTTCTTTTTTTTTTTAAAAAAACCCCCCCCCCCCCCCCCCCCCCCCCCCCCCCCCCCCCCCCCCCCCCCCCCCCCCCCCCCCCCCCCCCCCCCCCCCCCCCCCCCCCCCCCCCCCCCCCCCCCCCCCCCCCCCCCAAAATTGTAACCCCACACCTAGAAGGTTTTAGCACCAATTGTGTATAGGCTCTAGGTATTTACTTTATTAATGCTATATGAAGGAAAAATCTATTATTTATATATTAGTTTATTAGTGGTAGAGAAAATATATTACCACATGCAATCATTGCCACAGACTTAAAGAGAATTATGCTGCTGTATCTGTATTTCTAAAACAATAAAACTTTGAAATTACGTCATCAATAATGTTGGTAATATCACAAAGATGGACTAATTTTCACATTTAAGTGGACGTGCCAAAAAACCAATTATAAAATGTGTTACTACTTTATTAATTATAAATTATGTAGGAATTAACCTCTAAACATTGAAGACGTGTGTTTCTCAATGTAAAAATATCCTTAGTTCAAAATTGAAAATTGTTTATTTTTACCGAATAAAACTAGAATTATGTACAATCTGTGAACCCCTTTTAAGTTAAAATGTTTACGTATTCTGAAGTTAAAGCAATCAACTCAAATACCACATAATATTAACAATTTACATCAAAATATTCAACATTACATTACATTTTAATGAGTATATTGAATTCATAATAAGTACGAAGATTACGTTCATAAATGGATGTTATAAAAACCTATAATTTTCAATTTTCTTGCGAAGTTTTACCGCGATAATGTTGGTAATAAAGTCATACCATAATGCATAAACGCTTTTAAAACTTAATCGATCTTCGCAATGTTGGTAAAAAATGTAATATTGATTTTTTATACACTACTATGGCTTTATTCTCTATTTAACGTAAATATAATTGCAACCTTCGTCAATGATTTCATTTAAACTTGAACATTATCACATAGGTATAAAGTTCATATTTGCAAACAACAAGGTACGGTCAATCTACTTTAAAACCTGCATGTAAAGTAGCTGGTTTTATGGAAATATAAGCCGTTTTTACTTTGTAATAAAGCTTCATTTTCCTTGCTACAGTTAGAGGTTCTATCGCTTGAGATACACGAGAATTGCGCTCCTGGGCAGTATTTACGAGATAAGTAGTGTTTATTGCTTGTTGCCTACTTTTTATCCTCTTTATTAGTGTCTTCTATAGCAATTCACTTTGATTGATGTCACTGTATTAATTCTGACATTTTATGGCTTGAACTATACCTAATGGTCCATATTAGGTGTCTCAATACAGTTGATCAGGCACTAGTTAAACGAAATTCCACCCGTATCAACTATCACTCAACGTCCGTCGTTCCACAACTGAGCGTTTTTAAGGCAGTATTTGCCGCGCACCACCTCTATCTGGAACACCTGGTACCAATTATTCAAAGGCCGGCAACGCACTCACGAGATTTCTGGCATTGAGTGACCATGGGCGGTGGTATCACTTAACATCAATGTTACGTAATTGCGTTTCGCTAGGATATTGGTTTGAGACGACGAAAAGTCATTGTTTATCACGAGTGCATTGTTGACATTTAGGAAATGGAGAACTTACGTCCTATATCTATTTATTATCAAATATTAATAGGAGTTCTTTGTCTCATAACCCCGTATGAATCTTAGAATAAAGATGGAGTAGTATTGCCCGTCCCCGCCCACCCGCGTAGTCCACACTATTACGACGCCATATGGTTACACCTCTCTCGTTCCGGCAGAATGCAAAAGCGTTTTGAAACTACCCGAGGTAGTTTTAGTACGTGGGTAACATTGAAAATGTTTGGAATTGGCCAGGTAGAAACATTGCTAATGAAAACTTTTATGAATTTCAATTTTAGAACTCTTTGGTAACCTAATGTAGTATATTGCATTCATTTGTCATTTGTTTTTGTGAATTGGCGGCAAATCTAAAACTCTTGTTACACGTGAAAATGAACCTAATGCGAGAAAATTTTCGGTTAATGATTTATAATGACTTTCGTTGTGGGCTTACTCAACAACAAAGCTTTGATAGGCTGCGATTAGCATTTCTTAATGAAGCCTCATCTCGTGCCAGTATTTACAATTGGTTTTTGGTGGAAGATAAGAGAGTGACCTATCAGCAGATACGGGAAAGCCTAGGCATTGGTATGAGTCAAGTTCAAAAAATATTACTCGAACCATTAGGCGTCAGGAAGCTTTGTACCAGATGGATTCCTCATACTTTAACCGACGACCAGAAACATCTTCGCATGGACTAGTGTCGCCAAATGTTAGATAAGTTCAACGGCGGTGACCCAAATCCTGTATTTGACATCGTCACAGGTGATGAAAGCTGGATATATTGCTATGAACCCAAAACTAAAGATACAATTCGAGGTATTCGCTTTACGAGCCCTGAAGATGCGGTGAAAGTGTACGAAAATGCTATAGAAGAATGGGCCCACTCCTTTTCTCAGTGGTTCCATCGAAAGCGACGATGTGTAGAGAGGAATGTGTAAAGAGGATTACTTCGAAAAACAATAAAGTTAAAGTATTTTTCATTTTCTAAACATTTTCTGTGTTACCTAGGTATATCGCACCCTATAGGTTCCCCCACTAGCAGAGTGCTTGAGCCTGGTTCTACTAACCCCTGTGATCTCGATTAACAGGGGAAGACTCATTTAAGGATAGGTGTAACAGGATACCGTGTTACACGCCATCTTCGTTCACCATACGGCGATATCATTAATAGCATTACTGAACATTAATTTCGTCTTGTAGTTGTTTCAAATAGAAATGAAACGTTCATTGTTTCATGTTCGTAATTGAAGTTCGTTCGCGTGGGCTAGATGTAACCAAAAGTCGAGCACCAAAAATGTAATAGCTGTCACTGGGCATGATTAATGCAATTAATACCGCAGTACCCACAATGCTATGAACTACACTACTGGACATTTATAATCAAACACAACATTCCAACAACGCAACGCACTCGGCAACCCTTTGGCGTTGAGAGTGTCTATGGACGGTGGACATTACTTATCACTTAACATAAGGTAAGCCCTTTTGCTCATGTTCTATAAAAAAAGCTGAATTTCCCTATGTGCAGAATTAAAATAATATTATGATGTAAAATAGGATGAATGATTATTGCAATCACACTTAGAAAGTATTAATTAAATAGAATAATAATGTAACTACGATTGATTAACCTAATTTAACCCAAAATTATACCTAGAATTAATAACAGTACAATACTGTAGATTTGTATAACATGTTTATTTGAGATTCGTATTTGCTTTTAGCTCTTTTTTTAATATTTGTAGCATGTTATATCTTAGATTGTGACAGCAATAATTCTCTCATAAATTAAAATTATAATATTAATTCAAT